GTATACTCCTGGTGTCCTTAGGCCCAGGCTGTCTTTAACCAGCCGGAGGAAATTGGATAATTTGTATGGAGGCAGACCCACTGCTTTGATGTTGTGTCGGGACAGCACTCTGCTGATACGGTTGAATATGGTCCCGACATAGGGGAGGAAGGCGACTGAGCCCGGTTTGTCTTCAGGCCGGCTGATGTTGGGCCAACGGTTGAGAACTCCGTAGATCTGCTGGTTGTTGTATCCGTTCTTCTTGAATACATCCTTCAGGAGCACCAACTCTGCATGTAGGCTGTCTTGATCACACAGTGCTCTAGCCCTGTGCACCAATGTTGAAAGTGCAGCTTGCTTGTTGGAAGGGTGGTGGTGGTGGGACGCAGCGTTAAGGTACAGGTTAGTATGAGTGGATTTGCGGTACACTCTATGGTCCAGGGAACCTTCGGGTCTCCTGTAAATATCTATATCCAGGAAGGGGAACCAGTGCATCCAGTTCACAATGGAAACTGAAACTGAAGGCCATCTCAGGCAAAGCACTTGATTCCATTCTCGTGGTAAGATCTAGTTGGGAAATACTCCAGGGTGCAAATCTGCCTTTATGCTGAATGATTCACAAGCTTGGTTCAGCAAGCACTTCAAACACTGTTCAGAAGAAAGATGTAACAAGGTAAAGTTATTCTCAATAAGCCTAATTCTCCACTTTGGCCAAAATACAATACAGTCAACTCTCGATTATCCGGGGGCGGATTAACCGGTTTGCAGCTTAACCGGGGCTTTTTTTTTTAAGTTTATATGTTGTTTAATATTCATTCACTTTTGTTTCACATGGTGAGTTTAACACTATTTTCGCACTAGTGTGAACCGAGCTCTGCATTATTTCGTCCCGTTATGCGAACACAATGTTCTAGGGTGGGGGTGAAAGAATGCAAGAATTTTTGGAAAGTTTCAAGGACAAATACACCGCCCCAGGTTATTTAACGGTACCATCTCAGTGTGAGAGTGCATTGTGAAAGTAAGTATCAGTTTCTTAATATAGATCTTCAAGTGCGTTAGCAAAATGTCGGGGTTTAAAAGGAAGCGTGTTGTGTTAAGTATTCAACAGAAACTTGAAATTATCAATCAGCTGGAAAAAGGAGCTGTAGTTAAACAATTAGCAATGCAATACGGTATTGGAGAACAAACTGTTCGTGATTTGAAAAAACAAAAGAATGAGTTAATTTCCTTTGCTTCGTCTTCTAATTCAAGCGGAATGAAGAAGAGAAAAACCATGAAGAAATCAACATACGATGATCTCGACAAAGCGATGCTGACCTGGTTTAATCAACTAAGGGCACAGGGAACAACAATAACAGGACCAGTTTGTGCTAAACAAGCTAAATATTTTTTCGAAGCACTTGAACTAGAAGGGAGTTTTGACGCTTCTTCCGGTTGGCTAACACGTTTCAAGCAGCGTCATGGAATACGAGAAATCAGTATTCAAGGTGAGAAATTGTCAGGGGACTTGTCAGCATCAGATCAATTTTGCACCAATTTTGATAGTTTTGTGAAAAGTGAAAATCTGCTGCCAGAACAAATCTATAATGCCGATGAAACGGGTCTTTATTGGAAATGCTTGCCAACCAGAACATTGGCATTTCAAAATGAAAGACAGGCTCCAGGTCACAAATCCAGTAAGGAGAGATTGACAGTCTTGTGCTGTTCTAATGCATCAGGAACACACAAACTAATACCAGTAGTTATCGGCAAAGCGAAAAGACCACGCTCTTTTAAAGGAACAGTAGCTTCAAGTCTGCCTATCCATTATTTTAACCAGAAAGTAGCTTGGATGAATAGAGCGATATTTAAAGAATGGTTTGATTTTAAATTCGTGCCTCAAGTTCGTGACCATCTAAAATCCCAAGGCCTACCTGAGAAAGCTGTGCTCCTCATTGACAATGCGCCCTCACATCCTAACGAAAGTCTCCTGAGGTCAGATGATGGAAATATTTTTGTGAAATATTTTCCCGCTAATGTTACCGCACTTATCCAACCAATGGATCAAGGAGTTATCTCAAGTATGAAGAGAATCTACAGATCAAATTTGCTACAAAAGTACATCGATGAAGGCAATGATCTGACGTGTTTCTGGAAGTCCTTTTCAGTATTAGATGCCATATACGAGATTTCAACAGCGTGGGATACAGTAAAGCCATCTGTATTGAAAAATTCATGGAAGAAACTGATGCCTTTCATCACTAATGAAGATGACGAAATCCATGGATTCACTGGATTCAGTGAAAATGAGATAGCCATAAAATTGACAAAAGTGGCTAACCAAGTTCATGGTGGTGAAGAAGTCAACGAGGAAAATATAAGAGAGTGGTTTAACTGTGACTCGTGTGAACCGGGCTTCGAAATGTTAAGCAGTGACGAAATCGTAACTTCAATGGGGGTGCAGCCAGAAGAGCGGGAAGAAAGTGAGAATGAGGAAGAGGTGGACAGTGTTGCCAGTAAGAAAGTATCACATGGTGCTGCGCTTAATCATTTGGAATCCTTACTAGACTATCTTGAGAGTGAAGAGGACAGTTTATTAAGTGACAAGCTAATATTACGTAGGCTTCGTACGGATATCCGTAAAAAGGAAAATGCCGCGAAAAAGCAAAAGACAGTATTAAATTATTTTAAGTGTTAAGTGTGACCGTAAAAAGTGCTGGATGTTGTTGAACAGTGATTGAAATAACTAATTCATACTGAGTGTAATGTAAAGAAAGTATTAAATAGGCCATGAGATGACATAGAAATGAGGATGAATAAATTTAAATACAGGTAGGTCTATAGTATTATGAAGGTATTAAAAGGTAAAAGGTAAAGTTGTTCCTCTGCTCAACGAATTAAGCCCTACGCCATTAAGGCGTGTGGGGGAGTGGATGTATAGATCCAAATTTTCTTGACCTCGGCACTAGTTGGAGGTGAGTGGTCAGCTTCACGCCCCGGCCGCTTTACCCCCGGGGAAAGAGCCCCCGGTACCCATTGGATAGGAGGTTGGATGGACCCCAGAGCCGGTCTGGACGATTTGGAGAAGTTAAAATTCTTGACCCTACCGGGACTCGAACTCCGACCCTTCACAGTCGTCCAGCCCGTATAATAAAATTTGGCTTAACCGGGTTTTCGATTAACCGTGACTTCCATCCCCACCATTAGCCCGGATAATCGAGAGTTGACTGTAATTCTAACTTACTGATTTCACTTAAACTTAGACACTTCAAAAGTTTATAAAATAATACATTGCACAGAGTTCTAAATTGGTTACAAAGGTTGTCAAATTTTAGATTTTGAGGACTGTAGTTATGTCATGCCCTTATGACTTGTTGGAATTAAGTTCTTGAGTACTCCCTCTACTAAGTGACAAACTTAAGTGAATGTTGGAAAGTTCAAGTCTCAGAGATGAGTTCAAGCTTCACATATTCAAGACACTTGCTACTTCTGTTTCAAACTTGAGCTTACCCATAACAAGCTGATTTAGATAGTTAGATTATACTTGTAAGAGCCACTCTGACACATATGTTCAGCATTTACTAGACTCTTAAGAGAATTACTGACTAACATGTGTTAGCAACATCTGAAGTAAGGAAGCTTGTACTCAATTTTGGTTTGACAAATGGCTGTCCCATTATAGTTTAAATTAAACAAGTCAATCTCCAATGCTTGCTAGAAATCCTTCTTGTCTCTAAGTTCTGAAATAGCTTCAGTACACCATACAAGGCATTTACTGTAAATAGTGACCAACTAACTTACAAATGTTAAATTAGTAACTTCTAAAGTTATAAAAGTTGTATCCATATTCTGCTTGACAAATGTTAGTCCAGTACATCAAAAGTGGCACAGACATCAACCCCCAGCCTGTAACTGAACCCCAGCTGTCCAGCCTATTTCCTCTCACTACACTGACTGAGTTATCCCAGCTCCTTCACTGTGGCATTGTTTCCTATAATGGCACATATGTTTTCACTCACTCAAAGACCTCTTAAGACACATATATCAAGAACCCCACAGTGCCATTATAGTTGTTTCACTTTAGCAGTTCATACAGCTGCCATATCTGCATTACTGCTGACAGAGAACTTAAATATTCCACGGTTGTGTGTCTTCAAAGAGCATTATATTAATTTAATTTAAATTTATCAAGTGGTTCAGAAAACAGACACATGGATGCTGTAACATAAGCTATGAAATAGGCTTAGATATCCAACTCTGATGTAGTATGAAACTTAATCAGCCATAAAATTTATGATAAGGTACATTTTTCTTTTCCCAGTTGCTTTACAATAATGTACATTTTTCTTTTCCCACTTACAACCATTCTATCTACCTAATTAAAGAATTTACGGAAAGACAACTTTATTACTTGTCTATATAAAATTCTTAGGTATAATTCTCCAGCACAAACATAACTTTCCTCACTTCATAATGACCCATTTCTGCATGCTCATTGATAAAAGAATTAACATTCCTTATCAATTCATTTTTAATTTACTGTGACACATAAACCAAAATTAACAATATATTTTTATTGTGCCCCATCACATTATGAAATGTACAGTGAATTTAGTACATGATATGACACATGATACTTCAAAAATCTACAGCTCTGTTTTACAAATTTCTAGCGGCCTCCGTAGTCTAGGGGTAACATTCCCACCTCATGACTCAAGGTACGCGGCGGAGGTCGTCGAATTTTTAAGGGCGGAAAAATTCAGGGAACAAGTCCTCCGGGAGGGACTTTAAGCCGTGTGTCCCGTGTCATAGATTTACGGCATGTAAAAGATCCTCATGTCTCAAGGAGACCTCTGAGCAAAATTAGGCAAAGTTTCCTGCCCAAGTAGTTTCCAATTCCTCCGGTAGATGGGGAAGTATCGGGGACCACTGCCAGAGAGGTGGCCGACATCGCTGGCAGAACGGGGCTGATAGCGAGCACCAGTACTGGAAGGGCATGGCAACTAGTAAAATAATTAAAGGTGGACGCACAACAGATTAACAACTAGTCACAGTGCATGGGGAAACCCACCCCCTCCAAAATAATAATAATAATAATACAAATTTCTAACTCACCAGCAGGCTGATAATATGTTGATGCATGATCTGGCTGTGTGTAAACTGCCCCTGAACAGGATCGTATTGTTGAGTAACGCTTTGGGCGATTTGTAGCACTGTCACTACTCTCTATCTCACCAACAGGTTGGTAGTAAGCAGCACTGGGAGGTGGCTGGGCATAAGTTGCTCCAGACTCAGGCNACAACAGGATGCATTCCTTGACAATTAGTAAAGTCCTTTGTAATGAGAGTTCATAGTGGCCCCCAAAAATTCCCACTTCACTGAAACCATCAAATGTTTTGGAAGCAGTGGAATTAAACACAAAACTGTGGAAAATTTTAAATGGAGGTAATTTAACAACCAACATGGGGAAGAACTTTAAACCGAGGAACATTAAACGGTGATTTCACTACATAAGGAGTTTATTTTCATTGCTAGTGTGGTGGGACTAAGTCCCTTGTACTGCAGCCACTTCTGGCCTATTGTACCAGCCCCAGATGATAGGTGAGGGTGACTGTGGAGCAACTGGTGGAATGAAGATTGACAGGGGAAACTGAAGTACTCAGAGAAACTTTGTCCACCACATATCCCACTTGACCAGACCCAGGATCGAACCCGGGCTGCTGTGGTGGGAAGTCAGTGACTAACCACTTGAGCAATGGCGCGGCCTACATAAAGAGTTACCACGGCACCTAACAAATGGAAATTTGTCAAATACTGAATGCATTTCTTTATACATATTTTATGGTGAATAAATAATCAGATATACATGAACTCTCTATGTTATACACAATTCTCATAATACATATTTTACTTAACATGTACTTGAATGATGTAACATTTTGCTTCCTTTCTTCACAGCATGTTACCTTTCAAATCAGGTGACTTCATTTTCTTTGTTCTCTAACATAATTAATAATATAGAATACGCAGCATATACCAACACCATTTTCGCAAGTATCTGTCTTTACACAAACCTTCCTGATTTTAACTTCATGCTCAAGAAGAAATATCTGTGTTTTCTCTGTGGTAATACAGTGTTTTCCTGCCTATTTACAGTGCCTACATACATTACCACAGCCTGTGAGGTCAGAGGCTTGCATAAAAGAATATGCTGTGTTTCCAAGGTGTAATCTTTTTTGTGTCTGTGGGAAAGTGATGATGGAATAAACAGCTCCAAAAGTTCTCATTATGGCAAGTATTTTTGGTAATGCGTTCATCTTAATGGTACAAAAAATTCAAAGCTGGCAGAGAAGAAGTGAAAAAAGAAGAGAATGTGCCACATGTCTGAAGAAACATCATGCAAAAATGGTTCTCAAATCTTGACTGTTAATAAACAACTGTGGCAGAAATTATTCATATCTTCTTCATGTAATTCCACATAGTGAAAATCTCATCAAGACTGTCATCAATGGTATTGGTGCTTGGACTTTTCTGTACAACTCTCAGACCAAGTATCAACATGGTCAATGGAAATTATTAAGCTCACAGTGGTACTTGCATCAAAGTCATGCTGCTTCATATGTTGCTTTCAAAGAATTTTTCAGTCAGATTTTATTCCTGACATCCAGACTGTGACCAGTCCAGAAGAACTTGTAAGTATTAGACACCTGGATGGAACAGTCTGCATAATACCAAAACTTTGGACAGATCAATGGATTCTTTACCATTACAATATGTCCGAAGTTTTCAATAAAATGTCACATCACTCAGCAGGACTAACTCCCCTGGTTTCATAGAAAATTTGTAACAAAGTCCTTGTTCCAAATACATTCCTCCCTATACAAGGAAAAATACAACTTAAATAACCTGTGAACAAAAAAAGGCAAGCATAATCACAACTTTACAGTGCATACAACAGTTAGTCTCAGTAATGTTTTTCTGAACCACAAATTATGTTATGACCAGGGACCTCCTGAAAATACAGTATAGCAATTTCTGTCACAGCTCATATACAGTATAACACACGCAGTCACAGGAGCAAGACAGAACAAAAGCACAACACACACAAGACAGTGAAGGAGTGCTCCAACAAAGGAGAATGGGCGTGACTGGCGTAGTGAGGGGCGACGTACCGATGTGGTATCCTGAACAATTTTAATATTTTTAACGTTTGACAATATATATGACAGATACATATTTTGGTTATTTTAATATTAGAACAAGGCATGCAATGAACTGGTTTGGCGTGGATAAGTAAGCACCTGAAGATGGCATTGTTATGCCGAAACATGTAGTGCAAGGAAGAGAAGGAGATAAATGAGTGTATGCACTGCAAGACGGTTTAAATAAATCATGGACTTTAGTTTTAAGTCTACTTCTTCAGCCTTGTCTTAAAATTGGACACTGTGTATATACGCCCCATTCTGCCTAAACCACATGAGAAGCACTGACTCAATCTCACATTTATAATTTTTTAACTTTTTTCTGCTTGACTGAGTACACATTACTGAAGTATGTTTTTCTTGTTCATTATTGTTCATTATTTAGCGCTAACACTGGTATGCCAAGTTATTCCCGCTCAAAGGTCAAATACATCTTATGTTTTACGTTTGTTTGTGTATCCATGCATAAAGCTAAATACATATAATACAATTTCACTGTAAAGTTTCAAAAATGTTGAAAAGATATATTACGTACTGTTTATAATACTGGTATTTATTGTTCATGTGATAAAGTTGGTACAGTGCAATACATTTTCGAAAATTCCGTCAACAACAATGCACTTTACAACAGTGTGAGGACATGGCATGTTGTTTGTGCATCTTGATGTTCCTTTATATGGGTAAGAACATGAAATATACATATTTCCAAAAACATGTGGAATAGGACATGTACATATACAAATGTTTGCTTAGAATGACCTCCCAAAATACTGACCTTTCTTTCTGGGACACCCTGCATATCAACAAAGTAAACTGCAGGTCTACTGCAAATGATGATGATGATGACAACACATTTGTAAGAATATTCAGACTTAGACATTATACTTACTGTTGCTATGCTGGGAATATTCTCTGATCACTTCATCTTGAGGTCTGTTTGCACCCTGAAGGCTGGCTGGAGGAAGATCAGAATTTATGTGGTGGTACTGTTGAGCTGTTGAGGGAGCAGTATCACTGCCACCATCATGATGCTGAGGTTGCACAGAGTCTGAAGGCAATCTTGTTTCAGAAGAGGTTCTGGTGCTACTTCGACTTTTCACTGCATTCCCAGCAACAACAACATCTGTCCCACCATTACCTCTACCTCTACTTCTACCACGTCCACGACCTCGACTGCCTCTTGACCAACCATCTGTAAAGGAGCCATCACGGGTATCGTGATGTACTCGTCTGGCTGTCGATGAGTTTGAGACACCACCATTTTCTTCCCTCTTGTTTGTAATATTATTATTATTATTTGTGCTGATTTCAGCTCTACAACACAAGAGACGTTTCTTTGACATAATTATTCAAAGACAACAATTCACAGTACTGAAATGACAAACAAGCATTCTCTGATCCAATACGGTTTATACTAAGAGAAAATACAAATAAAATGTAGCAAAAAAACAAATTCAGTTCGCAAGAATGATCAAATTGTGCCAACAATCAGTTACTACCCAAGATACCACAATAAAAATGCCCTCATTTTAACCGGAATAGAAATTAGAAAGACAGAACATGCAACAACATTCCAGACACTGCATAAAGCAGAAAATAAACACAAAACAAAGTAAACATAAATGTACGAAGGGTGTTCTGTATATAATGCCTCCTATTCTTTGCGTTAATATGTAACATCTGAGCTGGATGTTGGTGGTGTTGTAGTAAAGGTTGAACCTTCCCGCCAATGTACTGTTAGTTTTGTTGTCATGCGACAGATAGCGACAGCAGACCAGTCTACCAAAATGGCGTCTGACAGAGAAGTGCATATGAAACAGACGTGTTATTGAATTTCTCACTGCCGAACGAATTGCACCCATTGACATCCTTCGACGCTTGCTAAAGGTGTACGGATAAGATACAGTGGATGTCAGCACAGTGAGGCGGTGGGTAGTGCATTTCAACAGTGGCGAATGTGAAGTGCATGACAAGCCACACCCTGGGAATCCCTGCTCAGCTGCCACTCCTCACAATGAACAGCACCTCATCCATACAGATCAGCAGATAACGACCAAGGACTGTCAATTCTGAACGCTACAAGACGACGCTGACTAAGCTGAAAGCCCGCATTTCCTGAGTCAGGCCACAGAAGCAGACAACCTTTCACTTGCAACATGATAACGCTAGAGCCCATACCAGTTTGCGACCACCGCGCACATGGCAAAGTTTGGCTGGACTGTCCTACCACATCCACCTTATAGCCCTGATTTAGCACCTCCAGACTTCCATCTCTTTGGGCCTATGAAAGATGGACCACGTGGGCAACATTTTCAAGACAACGATGCTGTCACTGCAGCTGTAAGAAAGTGGCTAGCCTCTGCTGGAGCAGACTTTTAAGGGCGCGGCATACAGGCTCTTGTTCATCGCTGGCAAAAGTGCATAACAAATGGTGGTGATTATGTGGAAAAATAACTGTAAGTAGCTGAAATCTTGCTCTATTTAACTGTGTTATTATGCTTTCTGTATCTGCTGTAGTTTTCATTAAAAAAATAGGAGGCATTATATACGGAACGCTCCTCGTAGTACAGTTGCATGGGTAAGATAAGAAATGCACACATTTCAGTCAGGAAATTTGAAGGCAAGGAACAGTCTGGGAAACCTAGGCAAAGAGGGGTGAACAACAAAAGAAATATTAAAATTATATGGCATGACAGTATGAACTGGCCTCAACTGACACAAAATAGGATCAATGGTTGCCACTTGTGAACTAATAGTGGAACCTTGAGTCCTGGAAAATACAGGGATTTACTGATCTACATGACTGTCAGTTTCTCAAGGACTGTGCTCCAGAGGGTTGGCTAGTTAGTCTATTCTAACACACTTGAAAACAGTGATTTAACTAAGAATGCGGTCTTCTGGGATGAAGACATAAGCTGCTATACCTTGAAGATGTAGCCAGGAAATGCTTCCACAACATTGGTTCCTACACACCAGATTTATAGTGTCACATCCTGGATGACCATAATTTTAACCAAAATTATTAAATTAAAAAAAAAAAAAAAACTCCACTCCAAATCTGAAATTATTTTTGAAAAATTTCCAAAATCTAAACCTGAGGATTTTGTGGCTCAATCTTAATGCATGATTTCAGCTTTTGGGACTTTGCTACATCAAATATTGACAGCATTCCAGAATTTCAGAAAACCCTTGCAGTTGCTATCTTCATGGTTAATGACTTTGGGAATGGTTCTGGCAGCTCTCATAGAGCTCTTGCAGTGGGTAGTGTGTTGGAGTGGAATCCAAGACCAGTGGAGCAGAATGCTAACCAATTGGGTGACGATGTCGTTAGTGGAAACAGGTAATGGCAAATGTTTCAGCAGTCATGTGGCTAATGAAAAGAGGTTATGAAACATGTTCTGGCAAACAGGTGATCCTGAGAACAGGTGGGGAACACATTTCAGTGGCCTCATGTTTATCATAAGAGGTGATCAAAGTGTAACTGTTCATTCTGACTGGAGGACTGTTGTGTGTAAATTAAATATGTATTAAGTTAAGATTACCAAATTACAAACAAAGAGATCCGGCAGATAGCCAGCTCTTACACGCGGAAGGGACATAGTTCAAGTTTTGCTATGTGGACAGGAAGTAACATCTGGTAATTTCCTAGAATTCTGGCAGTTTCACCAAAGTCGGAAAGGCTTCGAGAAAATGAGAGCTGACAGCTTGGGACAGCGATAACTTAGAAGTGGGACGGCCAGAGCCTCACACCCTGACCGTAATGCATCAAGGGGCTGTCAACCTTAGCGTCAGGTCAGCATCTGCCAGAATCACATAGCAGAGCAACATGATTGGGAATTCAAAATTTAGGGAACCTCCTAGTTTGAAAACTTAACCAATGGTAGAAGTGGAGGAGTGGATTTCTCTTGGAGTCTGGGGTTCGTGGACCTCAGAATTCAGAGAGAGGGCATTCCACCTCGAGGAGTCTTGACACAACTTTCGGCAAAGTTGGATACAAAATTTACAACTACGGCCCTTCCGTAAAGTAGTATAAGTAAAGTCTAAATTAAGTGTATTAATAAATTCAGTTGTATTCAGAAAGCTGGAAGGGATTAAAGGACTACTAAGTGCAGCGGTTGAAAGGTGGGTGATTGTAGTGAAGTGTTCTTCCTGCCCTGTCCGAGCCAGACCCATATAAGACCCTAGATAGGAACTCAGCTCTACAGATTACCGAACAGAACCCAAAAGAAGTGAACGGTGGTAGAGTGGCGCACAACGTAAAGGGCCCAAAGGAGGTGAGCGGTTACAAAAGTTCCCCTTCACATTATCATCATCCTTCTTTTCTCCTTTCCCCCTCCCCCCAGTGACTGCTGGATGGTGGTCTGAAGGCTTTACTCAATCTGTATCCATCTCTACAGTTACAATTATTTGGGTGTTCAGTATTTTGATGGTTGTTCTGTCAGTCAATGTTATAGTTTGTCTCTACAGAGTGTTCAGCCAATGCTATTCACCAGTTCTCTAGTCTGGCATGTATGACATCCTGAAATTCTCGTGGATATGTGGCGACCTGTCTGGCCGATGGACACCTTGCCACATAATCCAGGGATCTCATAACTAAGTACTTTTGAGGCGCAGTTGCTTGTACTCAATGGACATGAAGTGTGATCCCATTTTAATTGTTTCTGAACTTTGTGAATGCCCCCTTTCTTTGGTATCCTGGAGATGTCGTCAGTAGTGCCACAGATGAAGATGGCAACTGCAATGTTTGCCAAAACAGTGAAAAACCTCAACATCTGATGCAGCTCAGTCCTGACAGCCAAAGTCACACAATTTCTAAGCTCTTTCATCTTGCTACTTTGTCCACAAATTAATATACCAGTCAGTCATCCAATATAGAATCACAGTTTGCATTGCAACAAGGGATTTAACAGGATTTGGTAAGAACAGACACTTAAAAAAGATGGACAAGTTGCTTTACACCCTCTCTGCTATACAGGTGTTCAGAGAGATGCACTGAAACTTCAAATAATCACTACAACAAATCAGGCATATACAAGATGACTTTTCCAGTTCAAGGAAAGATCAAGAGGAGAATTTTGAAAAGTTTTGAGCATCATGATAAGAACAAGAGTTTTCTCTAGCAGACCAGTTTTACCACCACAATAACCTACAACAGTAGTCACTTTTCCACAGTGAACTAAAGTGCAATGCCATATTTACCCTCCTGGTAGATAATTTAAAAAGTAAGAGAACCCCACATTAGAAATCATATCTACACAGCAAATGCAATTTTATGAATTAATTTCATAGTATCACAACAAACATGTGAAAGAAAAATACTAGAACACTTGTCATATGTGAGATTTGTTGAATCAGTTTTCATCTTAAAACGACTTTTATTCAGCTTCACCTGTTTCATTCTACTGCACCATTCCTACTATTCCAGATACAGTATCATCCACAATTCTGATCTTTTTCCTCACATTCATGTTCCTAGGTAACATTCCCAATTTCATCATCATCATCATCATCATCCCTTCCATTAATTTAATCAGATATATAGCACTTTTATTTTTTGACTATCACTTCTGGAGAGATCCACTGGCACAACAGTTCTACAGGGCTTTTTACTGTCCAGGTTCATACCAGAACATCCTTCTCTGCCAACAGCCATTCAGAATAAAAGTATCTTTAAAAGACTTATTTATTCACTAAATGTATAACCACAAGGTCAGTGTTCATTGCACAAATTACATATATGATTTCTGGTGCTGAATGACCTTTAAATGCATACAGCACAAACATTCCTCATGTTCTGAATATTAATGTTGGCCCCCCATTGCACCCCCTCATTTATTCATCTGTACTTTTAGAACAAGACTACCGGTTTCAAGGAAGAAGGAAGCTAGCATCCAACCCCAGCCCTCATATTTTTGAGGAGGAAAAAATATGAAATTCAGATGAAATATACTAAATATTAAAACGATTTTTTAAATATATTCTTCTATCATGAATACTTGAACAGTAAGTAAATACAGTTTTAAATATAAGTTTGCAGGCATATTTTCTGGCTGCCCCCTCCTGGAAAAATTCCAACTGTTTAGGTGGTTTTCCGATTCAATATCACATATTGTGACATTTTCACACAGTCTGCCAACTCTGTCAACATTACACTCACTCACATATTTTCACTGTTTGGTGTTTTTATGGTAACAGGTTCTGCACCTGTAACATCAAGGGTGTAACTGACTGGCATACTGAAATGCAGTGGTACTTTATCAGTGCAGCCTCAAAGTGTGATTGTAACTTCTTTCAAAATGAAGTTTTTGCTGCAAAGAAAATATGTTCTACCACATCATTTGTACACATCACCCTGGCTCAACTTAAATTATTCCCACTCCTTGAGCTGATTAAAACTGCATAAAACTGATATTTCATTTTGTCTTCACATCTGCACAAATAATAAACATAATATTGGTGAAGAATTGGCAAGTTCCTGTTTCTGTTGTTTCCATCTTCAAATATCTGGCTTGGGAGATTCAGTATTTTCTTGTTGCTTCACAGTTGTTTGTTCATGTTTACTCACCATAACCTTAAAGTATCGTGATGTGTATATCCACTGCTAGGCAATGACTCGGTAAACACATTCTCACACCAGCCGACACGAGCAACAATAGGATGTCTATTGCTAGGCAATAGTGCAGTTAACAAGCCTCAGCAACGATATAGGCTGTGTTTCCTGTGTGGTCTGTGTTGAGGGGTTATAAAAGGACACAGTCTGAAGACACGACCTAGTACAAAACAGTAGTCGAGAGTGAAGAGTGAAGTTTCGAGACATCAGCCTGCCAGGATATGAGCTTGGAATTGAAGTGAGTCGAGTCTTCGGAATTGGCAGTTGCAGAATAATGGCAACAAAGGAATTAGGTTGTGATAAACACTTCATGTGTCATTTGGAATGACAGTGAGACTGTTATAAATCTGTTGCCAGAATATGAGTAGTGAAGACTGAGAACCCTTGAGAGTGTGCAACGGTCAACTGTGAAGTGTGCAGATCACCGATGGTGCTATATTGCCTGTAGTCCCGAGCTGTGTGTATAAGGTGTCAATAAATCCACTCATCTAATCCAAAACCTGTCTTACAAGTAACGCACTACCCCTACACGTGACAGTATGAACAATAACTGTGGCACCTGGTACCTTCTAACACATTCCATCTACTAACAGTACCTCTTTTCTTGATATTATAGCAAATGTTTAGGAAGAACACTCCATTAGCAAAGAATATTGGAAAACTGATGAACTGCTGCTTTTATTTCCCAACTATGTTCATAATTTGGACAACTTTGTGGTTTCTGACTTTCAAAATTATTTCTCTCTCCTGCTTGCTACTCTCATAGAACACTGTAGCAGGAATGTTGGTATGAATGCACTGCAAACATTAAATATGTATATATTCCATTTTTCTCAAAAAAAACTAACTCATGGTTCGAAGTCTTTTTTGAGAAGCCACCAGTTGCTCAGTTTCTCAAGAATTTCCCAACATTTTATGGAAACCAAAGGTTCATTACCATGTTCACAAGAGCCCTCCACTGGTCCCTGTCCTAAGCCAGTTCAATCCAGTAAATACCACTCCATCCTATTTATCTACAATCCATTCTAACATTATCCTCATTAACATCATATCATTAATTTTCTCATTAACCAAATTCTGAATCATTACCATCATTCCCAAACATCTGAAATGTGTCACATTTTCAAAAGATCTATTAGCTATCTCTATGTTATATTTCTTCTGTATTCCAGTAGCATCAACAACATACACTTAGTTTTCTGTTTACTTCTAATCCTTCCTTACTAGCATAAATCACAGCTCTTGTGTTTTTCTTTGTGGCACTTATGTTATCTCCCAACGGACTTACATCAGCAGCACAGACCAACAGCTGACATGCCCCATTTGATTTTAGTCCCACCTTGTTTTCATGAACCTTCCTAATGGCATATTCTAAAGCAAAGCTGAATAACAATGGCATTTTCTGCAAATATGATACCAATCCCATCTGACATCAGACCCCTATGCACAAAGCAACAGCAATTATCAGAAAATCCTGAAATTTTAAAAGCAAAAAATTGACATTCAAATCAAGAACCAAAATTTTCTTTCTCCAATTGTCTCAGAAATTCTAGACTCTGACCTTTCTACCATAACTCCTTCTTAACTACTGAGTGCTATATACAGATAGAACATGAATTAGTATATGCTACAGAACTTTCCAAGCAGTATCAATTTTGTTGCACAGGGTAATAACCCAATCTATCTGATGTCCTGTGTTTCGTACTTAGATGTAATGCAATTGTCATATCACTTCCTACATATGAGTACCAACATGTTAGAGCCTCCATACCTGTTTAATGACTCCTGATTTCCTGAAGAGGAAACAGGATAACCTAGGATATGATATGATTCAGATTCCAATGGAGGGAAGGCATCCTGGTGAGATTTTGTGTTCCTCCTTCGGTTTTCCTTGTTATGTTTTCTACCAGCCACAGCACGATTACTGTAAGCTGAGCCATGTATTGTTGGATTTTGATCTACAGAACTGCTACTGTTCTCATTGTTTTCTTGTCTGTTACTTATAAGTGGTGGAAACTCTTCTTGATGTTCTGAATCACAATGTTGAGGTTGACTGGTCCCTCCCCGTCGTCCACCTCGTCGCCCTCCCCTTGTAGACAAGGCAGATATCTGGGGTTTGCTGTATGCATCTTCATCTTCCCAATTTCTTGTGTACTTATTGGGACCTCGCCTGAAAAGATAGCAATGCAAAATTTAATGAACCACAGAGAAATCTAATATATTATGAAATTAAAAAAAGAAATAAATTTTAACATAGTTGCTCTTCACAAAATAAACTGGTAAGATAAATAATGGTGTATGTAAAATATGAGAAACTGAAAATCTAAGTAATTTCAAACTAAATCAGGAGTATGCTGCATGGACAATGTCTGTTTTCCCATATCCTGAGGCAAGTACACTGTAATGATCCTTTAAAGGTTTGTGACAAATGGTCTATTGATTGTACTGTACAAGTATTATGTTGAACACTGTTAAATACATGATCTTTCTGAAGGTGGATCTGCTTCCATGAAGTGTAAGAAGGGGGCAGATCCTCCTCAGTTAAGTCTGTCTGAAGGAGCAAGGACTAATAATTGAGGCTAGCTCCTTTTAACAGGCACAACTGAGTAGGATCCCTTACCCCACTTACATCTGATAATGAAAGTAGTTCCAGCTTCCAATACTCATATTATTACATATTTTAAATATGTCCAAGATGATGGACAATGTCCAACATAATATTTTTATAAATATAATGTACTTTTAAGTACCCTACATATTTTATATCATCATCATCAGTAATCTGTCAAGACGACAGGTCCACAGTCTCGTCCAAAACAATTCCTCCATTTAATGCGATCTAGAGATTTCTCCTTCAAATGACAGTATCCTCCTCTGTCCCTAAGGTCANCATCCAGCATCTTCTTACGTCTTCTTCCTCGTCTTCTTGTCACTTCTATCCGCCCATCTATCTTTCCTTCGATAGCTTCTTTTAGAAGGCAGTTTCTGCGTAAAACATGACCAATCCAATTAGCCTTCCGTTTCCTCATTTCATGTAGGATATTCCTCTGCTCACTTGACTCTAATTAACACTTCTTCATTTCTCACATAATCGGTCCAACCGATCTTCTCCATCCTTCTCCAACACCACATTTCAAAACTTTCCAGATGTTTCTGATCTATTGCCCCAAGTGCCCATGTTTCAGCCCCATACAAAGCTATGCTCCAAATGTAGCATTTCCCTAGTTTCTTCCTCAAATTTAAGTCCAATTTGCTGGTAAAAAGATTCTTCTTCTTGCTAAATGCAGCTTTTGCCATGGCAATCCTGGATTTAATTTCACTAGTACACCTTCCATCATCTGTTAACAAGCTACCCAAATATTTAAAACATTTCACATTCTCCAGTTGTTTTTGGTCTATCTTTATTGTGACTGGGGTTGGTTGTCTCGAAATTTTCATTACTTTTGTTTTCTCCACATTCATTTCCATGCCATAGCACCTTCCAATTTCAATTAGTCTATCAATCATGCCCTGTAGCACAGTTTCTTCCTTAGCCATTAACACAAGGTCATCTGCATATTTCACAGTTTGAATAATTTGCCCTCCTACTTTGAAGTCTCCGAGCCCATCCAGAGCTTCCTTGGTAAGGCATTCGCTGTACAAGTTGAACAGAATTGGTGATAAACAGCATCCTTGTCGAACTCCTCTTCCAATCTGCACACTTCCTGTCTCCCCTCTGTCCAGTCGTACTCTAACTTTCTGATCCATGTACAATTTGCTAATCAATCTTCTTTCACGCCAATCGATACCTGTTTCTTTTAGGATCTGCATTAATTTGGTCCAGTTTACCCGGTCAAATGCCTTCTGCCAGTCTATGAAGCAAACACACAGTTCTTCATCTATCTCCAAAGTTTTTTTTTTTATTTTATATATATTTTATATATTAAATATAAATCCTATACCTCACAGAAGATTCTGTATTATATATGGCTCAGTAACCATCAGGACCAATGTTACAAAATATGTCAAATTTAAACCATCCTCTCAAGCTTAACAATGGAAAAAAATCAGTGGCATGGACTTGGTCAATAAACATACTGTCACATGTTACAGTGATTCTGGTGGGATTTCGGATTGGATATTGGATTTATTGACCACTCATACACTCACAACTTGTGACTACACTTTTCAGATCTCTGTCACACACGCTAAGTCTTTTCCAGCCCTCAGTGTCTTCATTAGTAACTGCCTGGTAACAGCTCCAACAATGGCTATTCCTCTGCTTCTGAGCTCAAGTCCCCTCCAAATGGTAGCTCCCTTCCAATTGAACTCAGTCTTCACTTCGTCCCACTTATAACTCATTTTCATGGACAACAATAGAAAACACGGTTTACAACAGTTCCTCTATTGTTGCATGTTTATTCTTTGCTGTGGAGATGTATTTGTTAGCAACTGTTACCTAGTGATGGGTCTACCCCTTACAATATTAAAGACTTTGGCATAACACAAATGTACTAAAATAATCCACAGAACAATGTCCGACAAAGTAATTCACACTAAACCTGTAAATATGGTACCATATTTCATTATCTACTGCATGTGCTCTCACGTTCTGACTTTTTACACACATTCCAATGACTCTGCCTTGCCTGGAAACATTGGCAGAAATCATCTTCCAAGATACACTTCAGTATTGTCATCACATTCTCTGAATATCACTATATCCAAAATACATGGTTACTATAAAAGAAACAGACACTTTCAACGTTTTACAGAAACCAAAGTATCATTGATATAGACAAAATACTTATATGGTTTTTCAGTACATGTCTTTAAGTTAGTATGACTAAGTTATAAATGTTCTACATGTGAGCCTTTTGTCACACAATAGATATCAATACAACAATCCAATTCGTTCCAAACCCATCGGAGCATGTCCTCGTCAACACTCATACCAGCTGTTGTGATGGGTTACTTTAGATCGTTTACACACACACGGGAAGTGGAGGAACAAAAACTCTGTCTTTGATATACCCCCACAAGAAAAAATTTCAATGCGTTAGATCTGAACTTCTTGGTGGCCAAAGTGTCAGTGACATGTTCTGGTCTGTTGAGCGGTTTGTTTGGAACGAATTGGATTATCGTACTGATATCTGTCGTGTGACAAATGCCTCACACATAGAACATTTGTAAATTAGTCATATAAACTTAAAGACATATAATAAAAAAACTATGTAAGTACTTTGGCTATATCAATAATACTTTTGTTTCTATAAAATGCTGAAAGTATCTATTTCTTTTATAATAGCCCTGTAAGATTATTTCAATGGAATTTTCAGTTTGAAAACATGAAGTCATGTGGTGCAAGGTCTTGCACGTTTGCTTGAACTTCCGACAATGAAATCTGGCTTTCGATCAACTACCTTAAGAAAAGAGATGTTGAAAGATGCATCATAAAGATGTCAGCCAAAAGATTCAGTCTTTTCCAACAAATGTGCATTGTAGCAACATCACAATTTGACAACAGAATTTCTTTATGGTTGTTCTAAAGGAATACATTTCTAACGGGTAATGCCCTTCACATCAGAAAAGTAAAAAGTATGGTTTTAACCTTCAAATTGCCGTGCATGTTCTTTCAATCTGGGATACCCTAGACTTTTCTAATGGAGCTTTAGAATTTTGTTTCTGGGTCACACTCGAAGACCCAGATCCTGTCACCATAAAATCAAATACAGGATCTTTCAATAGTATGATAAATAGACTACAATATAAAATTTGTCCTTGGCAAGTCCTTAAATTGCAGTTGCTACTTATACAAAGCTCTCAACCTTCTACCAAGTCCATTACAGATGGCATCAAAATCTCTTTAAAAAATTACCCATATCTTCTCCTCCTCCGAGCACGTGGAGGACCCTCTTCATTACGGATATCGTAACCATATATAGCAATCAATTCTTCACATGATTTAGGTGTCTGCTCATCTTCATTATAGCGATCATGGTTCCAACGGGTCTCATGTTCACGCCATACCTTCTTAGCTTTTGAATCACCAGCTCCTTGACCCTCTTTAGATGCACGATCTGCTGCTTCCTTTTCATTCGTTTCGCCACCACTCCTGGCAACAATTAGGAGACTGTATTAAAACATCTGACTGTCTTTAAAACCCCTAACATCGAACATAATGGAAGGGTTTAAATTAAGATCCACAATTTAATTTATATACCTTTGACTTTACCAGAAGATTACCAGGATTACTTTCTAAAAATTCTGAAATTAGTTAATTAATGAATTTCAAGTTGTTATTTATATTCACTACCCATCTCAATGTTCGCTATGGCCCGATTTTAAGAATCACTTCTCTCCAAAATCCATTTAATTTCTGTTAATATTTCGTATCTTTTATTCTTTTCGTAAATTCTAATTTTTTTCCATAAAACCAGTACGAGCAGATGCATGGCCTGACCTTGGCAGCTATGCCCATTTCTCTAGAGTGTTACATCTGTTGTGAATATCAATGCTATGTATAAACGTGGAGATTTTTACTTATTAACTCACACATCTTCAGTGGCTGTTCTGTCATCATGTTCATAGAATGTGCCGCGTTTAGGGATATACTGAGGATTTCTCCGATCCTCATCATCATCCAGCTTCTTCTCTTTCAGAGGGATGCTTTCCTGAAATATGAACATAGCTCAGAAGAATATCAGATTTGGTAGATAATTTTCATCAAAAGGGGATTCACATTTCACATGATAGGAAAAAAAAAAAACTCCATGGTTTTAGTCCGCCACCTAACTTTACTGACCAAGCGACCGCCGCTTGTCGGCGAAGTTAACGCCAACTTTAGCAGATAGAGGGTGTTGTGTGCTCAGCGCAACAAATCCCCACAGCCGTTAATTTCAGTTTTCTAGACGAGAGCCACTATTTCCATGATTTGTTTATTCCGTCTTGCAGTGCGTACCCTTATCTATCTTCTTCTCTCACTCTCACTACATGTTTCGGCATAAAAATGCCATCTTCAGGTGCTACTCAATTCACGTCAAACTAGTACATTGTATGCCTTGTCTTCACTTTAAAATAACTAAAATATATGTCCATCATATATATTGACAAATGTCAATCGTAAAAATATTAAAACTGTTCAGGATTCCCGATCGCTACGTCGTATCTTATTACGCCAGTCCTGCTCATCCTACTCTGTTGGAGCTCTTCTTCCCTATCGTGTGTATTGTGTTTCTGTTGCGTCTTGTTCTCACGACTGCGTGCGTTATGCTGTTCCTTGAAATAGCTCATCAATTATCCTCATGCGGTTGAGTGGACCCCGTTCCAGACCCACTACTTCTCAGAAAATCTGGTAGCACCAAGAATCCAACCCAGACCTCTGGATCTGTAGCCAGGAACTCTGACCACTAGACCACAGAGTTGGTCCATTTCACATCACAGATAAATAAAATAAAAAATTATCTTAAGCATGGATATAAAACACCACATATCCTGTCCACATTGTTAACACTTTACGAACACACAGGGCACACAAAACAATGTGCCACAGAAACAGATGAACAACAGTTAGTGAATAATATTTTTAAATATTGAGAAATTCAGCGTAGTCTTCCTAGGTGATCAGGTGTATGAAAACAGAGTTTACATTCAACATTTCAGAGACTGTCTCTACCTTCATCAGAAGCTGGTGTGATAACACAAGTATATTAGGTAAAGGTAAAGTTGTTCCTGTGCTTAATTAATCAAGCACCATTACATGGAGACATAGCTCCACCATTCTTGACCTTGGTACTACAAGGAGGTGACTTATTAGCTTCAGATGCTTGTTGCTTGACCCCAGGGAAAGAGCTCCGCAGTACCCACTGGATATGAGACTAGGTGGGCTCCAGAGCTAGTCTAGATGTTGTGGAGAAGGGAAAAATATCTCGTTACTGCTGGGAATCAAACCCCAGCCATCCAGTCCCTAGTCTGTCACTGTACCAAATGAGGTATTCCAGCTCCTTGCAATATATTATGTTTATACACATAACTGCCTCCCTAGCCTAATGTTCTATTCAAGTGCAGACCACTTGTGGAACAGTGGAAGGAGGATCATCGTCAGTCACCATACCCAGTCAAGATGGCATAACCTGCACACTCCAGCATGCTACTTTCTTCCACTGTTTTCTGCTTATTGCAGAATGATGCTGAGTACCATAAATGGCATACAGTAAACCCAAATTCCTGCTGAAATTGTCAGACTATATCACAATTTTAATGGCCTCCTTCACTAAGCAGTTCATGCAGCCTGCCATGCTAGCCATAAACGTGTTGTCCATGAAGTGTATTTATTTCACTGCCACAACCTTAACTACTCACATGCACCTCCTCATGGCCTGAAAAGGAGCAGTGTATAAGTCCCTATTCACTCTCTAGTAGAAATAGCAAACATATTCAATATGCTAATTCCAGAATGAAACCATCACCACAGTCATTTTCAGAACTGCATTATTAATAGTTACAAAAAACAAATTTGCTCTTGGGTCTTATATCATAATTTATACGTCATACCTTTCATATTTAAGCTGTTTTTGAAGAAAATGAGTCCATCTTATGGTATGCTTGACACTGAAACAAAGCAGTCCTCTACTACATTCAGATAAGATTACCTGGCCATCTCCATCTTCTCTCTCGTATTCTATAATTACACTATCATCGTCGTCGTCGTCTTCCTCATCAACAGCAGTCGAATCATCAGATTCTGTACCATCGTCCACGGTTTCATACTCGGATTCTCGTGTACCTTCAGTATTTGCATTCGGTTCACCTTGCTCACCTTCCTAACATTAAAATTTGTGTTAAAATGTAATTATGGAAACAATATCTCTAGGATAATCTAACACAAAAAATAAATCATCAATTTTCCGGCCGTATATTTGAACTTTCGACCTGTTTCACATGCCTACAAACACACATCTAACTCATATAAACCACTAAAGCAAACATATAAAATATTTCCTTTGGCTCAGTCTTACTTCCTCCGATCCTTTAGTAATTTCATTGTCCTCAAATGAATCTTCCGATAATTTTTCCGAATCTCCGGATTCCCTTGACTTTCGCCTCCTACTTTTGTCCGACATTTTGATTTTATTTATGAGGCATGGCCTACGAGTACTGGCAAGTATGGTGTGTGAGATTATTGGCGCATAGAATTTCCCGCACAATAGAAAGAAATTTCGTTGCTAGAGCCTATGGTCAGTACGTAGGTGGTCATGCGTTCTTACACAGGATGTGTTTAGACAGTCTCCTACAGATGCCGCAAGCGACATGATTCCACTCCTGAAAATCGATCTTGCTACCTATGGTCGATAGCGAACGATGTAACTCAACGTTTCGCGTATATGTGCTGAATCACTGGTGTGACGTATCCTGACGTCACACTGAACGTAATTGTTTATATACAATCATCGAAGACTTCTTTCAATCAATCCCGGTTTACGCATAATGTTTCATATAAAGTGTGTATTTCGCAACGTCGATTTAGCTTTCAATATACAAGAACGTAAAAAATTCTACCAACATTTTTCTTTAGGGCGGAGTCGCTTGGGATATGGAGTGCAGAATGATACCACTGAAATCTCTCTTTGCGCACCATGACGCAAGTGGCTTCTGCGCATGTACCTACGTGAACCAGCACGAGTTTTCCTCTGTTGAATCTTGCGTCAGCCTGTCAGTCGGCGCAGAAGCGGGGAAGATCGTGGTTCGTATAATGAAGAGAGCAGTTGCATAACCAGCCTTCCCTCTGAACGTTTCTATGTGCGCGATTGTTTCATCGCAAAAGTGGGCGTAACAAGTTGTGCAGAGCGATTGGTACACAAGTGCAAGTTATTGTTTGCTCTTCAACCCTTCCCAGTTTTAGTGAATTTTCAAGTGAAGTGTGTTGTTTTTGTGTAATTAGTGTTGCCGAGGGCGTCACGACGGCTTCTCTACCGGAGTATCGTTGGGACGAGAACGTCAGTTACTACAGTGATACGGATAGTGAAGATTTGTCCAATTATTACGTGACAGGGTTGCCAACTCATCAAGCATGTTATATTGGTTACAGAACAATGGATTCACCGCAGATGTATGACAGTACACATCCTTCAGCCATCAATTCCGCCGACGTTCACGCCATCAACTCCAGTAAGAAATCAGTGGTGAACACTAATAATAACAACATTGCAGCAATCAACAACAATACCAATAAATCTGCTGCTACTCTGCTGACAAAACAGCATCATCAGTTTCATCACACTGACCATCAGGGCGAGCTGGCAGACTTAAATACCCCCGAAATTTCTCTTGACCTCCAAAACTTGATTGACGACAGTCAGTTCAACGACGGTCTGTTCACAGATATCCTGAATCCTACTAAAACAAATACTCATCCTAGTTCCATAGCCCATCATCAGTCTGTGCGAGGACACAATACCCTGATCCAGGGCAGTTACCCACGAACCACTCTTGCGTACATGCCCCAGCCTGTTCATTCAGGAGCGTCAAGTTACAACACAGCCAACACAACCAACAACAACTCAAACGCATCTATTTCCTCGGATAACTCTTCGGCATCCTCAGTCAGTGTTCCAAGCATCAAAGAAGAGCCAGTTGACCCAGCGGACTTCAGAAACGCTTGTCAGCAGCAGAATATCACGTCCGGCACCACGGCAGCCGTTCCCGTCCCGTATTCGACTTCTTATTCGCCGCCTTCTGGCGCCGGAAGTAATTTTGTCAGTAACGGCGCCGGATCAACGTTCACGGCGTTGACACCTTCAACAGTACCCGGCGCTGCCTCCAATGTCCATCACCAACACTCGTCTCTAATTGGATTAGGGAAAAATATTGCCCTCTCTAAAACCACTCCGCACCACCACCACCATCACCATAGCAACAACAGGAAGAGTGGAAAATCCGTGGATAAAGCAAGCGACGAATACCGGAGACGTCGTGAAAGAAATAACATCGCAGTGCGAAAATCACGAGAGAAGGCGAAGCTTCGTTCGAGAGAAACCGAGGAAAAAGTTAAACTCCTTGTCAAAGAGAACGAACGTCTGCAGAAACGAATCGAACTTCTGAGCGAGGAATTGAACGTTCTTCGGTCTTTGTTTGCTAATGTGGGCGTTGTACCAGAGCATCTCCACAGGGAGATCAACAGACACCTGGACACTGTACAGCAACAGCAGCATCAGGGATTATGAGAAACGGACCCCGGGACTTTGGCGGAATCCATGGACCAGATGCAATGGCAACATCATGAAGAATGGTCTTCTGTTGCCAGCGATTTGCCGATCTCGTGCCAGTGGCAACACCACCAAGGCTTATAAGCGTTCGAACCCGTGCCTTCAGCATTCATTTATCCGTCATCAAAGTGCCCGTGGTAGCTTTATATTAGAAGAGAGAAATCAGTATCTAGAGTATGTCATATTCATTAGTGGTAATATTATGAATTGCAATCAAGAATGTGAATACGAGTGGTTAGTTTTCAATAAGGAATCATGTGCCTGCTGCAGATCAGTTCTTTCATGGCAGTGTAGAGACTCCATTCAAGTAAGCGCTCGAATGTACCCTGCTAATGCTGTCACTTACATATGTACAGTTTATGGTTGTGAGCGTAGCATTCGTTGGGTACATATCAGTAAGCAAGAACTACATACACATTGCTCATCGAGTGATTTGCACCTAGGGTTTTGCCGTGATATAGCGGAGTGTTGTGAAACGAAGTACTTCAACAACCATTCGAAAATTCAACTGTTTTCATATTATCACAGTGGCAGAATAAATGAACATCCTTCAAAGCAGGAACGAAACTATTATGTGCCTGGTACAGTGTGTTACAGAAACGACCGCAGTAAGGTAAGCCTGTTATTTCTGAACACTTTGGCGCAGAAAGACATAAACTGTGGTATTCAGCATTATGGATCTCACACATGTGACAGTGAAACCAGAGCTGAGGTGTTGACCACAGAGTTCTGCAGTTTTACATTCATTTTGGTTGAAAGTTCTAAGAAGTACCTTTATACTCTGTATGAGATAACTGAAATTCTGTGCCTTCTGAAAAATGCAACGTACCATAGGTACATCGTAATTGGTGTGAAAGTGATACATAGTGTTGGTAAATGCAGCAGATTGAAACGCGGGAGGACTGCCAAACAAAATGGCGTCAGTGTTTTTTTGTGTTCAGGAAGTAATAGTTCCAGTCCTGCCTTGGCCAAACCTTCCTGACAGTTTGTAGATACACTTTAAATTTCTTATATTAATTTCAAACATGGGTGCTTACCTGTAGAATAATTTAAATTCGTATTACATCCTTCAAATATGCTGACTTTTTTGATTTTAATATAAGATTTATTTTTCATTATTATTAAATTTTAGACTATGCAATGTTAATATTAAAATAATCATAATCAAAAGTCCTCATTTCTAATTTCGATTTTTGAAGGAGTGACATCATTTTACATACTAACTTCTCTGTTCCAAGTGTTGTGATTGTATAAATGCCATGTATAGTTGTATTCAACTATGAGTACCCTATGTAAAATTTATTGTTAAAAACACTATGAATTGTGCTGTAAAACATGTAATATTTGAACATCTGAGTAAAGCACAGAATTTTTTCTTTTTATTAAATGCACTACTGTGAAGTGTTTTCAATGAGTCTAGCAGTTAATTCCTTGAAAATTGTTTTCTCCAAGTCCGAAATAATTAAAAATCTTTGGACGGTAGAACTTATTAAGGTTTTTTTTAAGCTGATTGGTACTGTTGTTATTAATGTGTACGATGTTTATACAAATTTGCAGCGTTTGTGTTTGATATACAATGCGTTTTCTTTTAACTGCCAGTAGTATCTGTTTTTATAGAATTCTGTAAAAGTTCTGTATTATTAATATAAATTTTATGTTAAGTAAAATCAAGTTTTATTAAGCATACAATGCCTAAATTATATGTGATATGTTATTTAGGATTTCCCATTTTAAGCACTGAATTATTTGAAGGTTGGTTGCTTGCTTAAATAATTTTGAAATAAAAATGAGGATATGCAAATTATAACCGAAAATTTACATTATTTTTTCCCCCCGAAGTTGCAAAATATTGTGTGCTTCTGTAGTTTCAGTTTCAGATTGATCTTACAGAATAAGTCACCCAAAGTGCAGTCTTTGAGGGGCTCATGAGTGTAATTTTATTAATACATATCTTGTATTTATGAATTAAAAATATTTATTATTTACATTGTTGTGGTGATTGTTAACCAAATGCTAAATGAGAGAGATGAATAGTTAATGTGTGAACGTATATGTGCACAAAATATATTTTGATACAAAACTTAATGTTCTCCAATTTAAATGTTTTGGAAGATTTTTCTTGTCAGACTACTTTTACCATGTGCACTTTTCCTTGCCATTATATGCCTATAAACTGCTGTAGTTCATTTTCTGAGAAGTGTCTATGCATATTGACTATCCATTTGTGGCCTAGCACTTGGATGCTTATAGAATTTTTTTTTTTATTTTGGCGTTCATAGTTTATTCAGATTTCCTGTCAATCAAAGAACCGGAAACGCATTTTTACAGCACTTAATGAGTGAATATATTGTGTCTTCCCTCCATCAAAGCTATTTATTTCTATCAACAGAACAATAAAAATATTTCTCAGAGACATTGTAGAAGACACTTCTTTATAATGCTTAAGTTTCCGTAACTCGGCCCAAATTCCTTCTGCACCGGTGCTCTACAAGTTTTGGCATGGTGTTAACTAGATTCCTGAAGGGCTTTGAAAAGGGTGTATAGCACTCATCATTTAGAGGGTTGTTTCACTTTGCCCGGCGTCAGGTATTCTAAAAAAAAACACGTTTTGGAAACTGGATCCGTTTGCGTCCTTCGGTGAGGGGTTGGGAGTCACAAACTCCTTTGGCTATGGTAGAAAGATTTAATGTTAATCACTGGGACGTACATGCTGAGTGATGTTAAGTGTTTGTTTCAAACACAAAATACTCGAAATGTTCAGTTCAGAAATGGACCGCGACGTCACGGCAAAATATTGACGATGGGTTTAATATTATAATAATTCAAATCATGTTTATTTACGTGCAAACTTAACAGCACAGTAATTATATTATTATTATTATTATTATTATTGGGAGCTTGCATACAAGGACCACCCATATATTCACAACTGCATAAAGAAAATGTCGGCAGCTAGCCCCTGTAAGGTAGATAGGACTCTGAACCCTTGCATGCAACTTTAGTACACTTGAGGGTCTTTTAAAAGAGTTTTATATTGTGACGTGTTGCGCAATGGAGGACACCCCCTCCCTCCCCAGAGGTGACGTAGCAGGTGAGTCGGCGCTCCGCCCCCCCCCGCCTCGGGTTCGATTCGCGATGAGGCGAATAAATTTTTCAATTGACATAAACTTACAGCCGCAGTATGGCCCTTTCGTCGACTGAACCTGTGACAGAAATGAGTACCATAAATCTGCCTAGGGATAAAGGGCGGCTGGCGCGTAAGGCTGACAACTTCACCGTCACCGTTAGGAAAACCTGAAGGAAAGAAACCACCTGGACGCAGATATGAATATAATATTAAAATGGATCTTAAGGAAGTATGGTGGGAGGGTATGGAATGGACCCATCGGGCTGAGGATAGGGACCGGTGACCGGTTCTTGTGAGCATGGTACTAAGACTTCTGAATCCATAAAAAACTAGTAACTTGTTGAGTGACTGAGCGACTGTTGGCTTCTCAAGAATGAATCTGTTACATGAAGTTGATTGGTTACTTGGCTGTGGAAGATCGTCTGGTGAGCATTTCCATTGAGTAAACTGCTGTAAGGGAACCAAGTCACTCCACTCTTAGGGCGGTATCGCATTAGGATGCCAACGGGAGGCCATGGCGCAGCTGCCAGCATCTCGGCCAAACTCTTGTATTAATTTAGTAGTCATATATCGCAACTGGCGTCTGAATGGCAGCGCTGCCAACCAAGATGCCAAGTGCTAATGCTGCTGGCATCGCTGCCACGAAGGCAAAGGCCAAATCAACATCACCCGACAGTCAGAGGCCCGTCTATTGACGTCCTCTGGCAGCTGGACGCCATGGCATACTAGTGCGATACCGCTCGTGGAAGCAACAGGCTGTGTTGGCCGACCAAGGGTGATGGTGCTCTGAGCTAAGGTGTGAGTTACCATGTCGAAGCCTGCTTATTGCTGACGGTGCCTCCCCTTCCCACGCGAAGCTTTAGGGAGGGTGGACACATGTTACCGTAGCTGCAGTTGTCGGAATAGATGGCCCCAGGTCCCGGAAGATTTTCGGGAACCGTCTGGCTCCATTAGGGATTGGATGATGCACATTCAGGAGTCCCTGGATTTTATCGCCCTGCGTTGGACAGATGAACTGCTTGGTCCTCTGCTGCCGCAAGGGCCCTCAGATAAAGTGTCTAGAGACCCTGTGGCCCTATACAGAAGAAATTGTAGACTGCTAATAGCATAGCTGACTGCCCAGCGCACATTGAGACTGCCTTTTTTATTATAAATCTCAATCTTTTGTTTTACACTCTTATGTGCAATTATTTATTAACTTAAACGTTTAAAATGTTTAAGTTTTAAATTTAAAATATATATTTGTATTTTAAATTTAAAACTTAAAAATTTTAAAATTTTAAGTTCATAAATAGTTGCACATAAGACCGTAAAATAAGATTTATGATAAAATGGAAGAGTGCAACAGGATGCTACAAAACAATATTATGGCCTCTCAGAAAACGCAATGGGCAGGATATGTGGACAGTAGAAAGGATGTCTTTACCACGTACTTTGTCAGCGCCTAGTTTTGGCTGGGAATAAAATAGAGACCTTCAGCTATGCATGGTTAAAAAAAAGTAAAAGTAAAGCTATCCCTGTAACAGGCCGTTGAGGCCCATAGGGTTGTGAGATGTTAAGGTTCCCACATTTTCTAGACAATCTGCTCATAGATGGCGGCAAGGTTGTCAGCCCTACGCGCCGGCCGCCCTTTACCCCCAAGAATATTCCTGGTACTCATTTCTGTTAGAGGCTGAGTCGACCCCAGGGCCATAGTGCGGCTGGAAGGATTAGATCAACTGAAAAAAATTCAATGACCTAATCGGGACTTGAACCCGCGACCTTCCGGCTTGTAGCAGAGTGCCTCAACCAACTACGCTGCCGGGTGCATAGCCGATAATATCAGAAGCGCCTTGACTGAAATGGTTCCACCTCTAGCAGTCAGGGCTTTTTCAAAAGGCGTACCTAGATCGAGGGCACACAATGGAACCAGTAGTAGTCTAAGTGCTTGAGGCGACTGTAAGTTGTCCCCCTCACTCAAGATCCTCACTCAAGATAAAATAATAAAAGACAATCAGCTGTAAATTATGGTAATGACATTCTCATCGAACGTTTCTTTCAACGAATTTGTTTTACGTGTAAAAAGTTCCATGCTTCAAGTTCTGTGGCTACAGGACTTGTCTGTAGCATTTAAATTCAGCCACGGCGAATTTTTGCCCGAGAACCGCTACGTAAAATATACCGCTTCTGAATTACACAACCCTAGTGTAAATATACATGCAGGTGACGAAATGAACTATCAGCAAATTACTGATTTGCTCTAAATCGTAACTGTTATGGCCTTTTTAAAATGAATTTAAAGCATAAGTTATAACATTTCGTGCCGTGGCACCAAGAGGAGGAGACTAAGCAGGCTGGCTTAAAGGTAACGATCCAGACTTATATTTAGGAGGTTGCCATTAGAATCTCGACTGGGTCACCGGCTGTCTTTACTGTGATTTTGGCTGGTTTTTTTATTGCTACTGGGGTGGGACTAAGTCCCTTGTACTGCGGCCACTTCTGGCCTATTGTACCAGCCCCAGATGATAGGTGAGGGTGATTGTGGAGCAGTTGGTGGAATGAAAATTGGCAGGGGAAACCGAAGTACTCGGAGAAAACCTGCCCCAGCGCCACTTCGTCCACCACAAATCCCACTTGACCAGACCCGGGATCGAACCCGGGCCACCGCGGTGGGAAGCCAGCGACTAACCACTTGAGCTATGGCGCGGCCCAATGGCGGATTTCCTCAGTCACTCCAAGCAAATATAGCTATATTACTTTTTTTTATTTCGTGCATCCTGTTGTGTTAC